TTTTTTTTTGTAGAGACAGGGTTTTACCATCTTGGCCAGGCTGGTCTGGAACTCCTGACCTTGTGATCCACCTGCCTCGGCTTCCCAAAGTGCTCAGATTACAGGCGTGAGCCACCGTGCCCGGCCAATTGGTGTAAATTTTTAAAAATTATTATTATTATTTTGAGACGGGGTTTCACCATGTTGACCACGTTGACCAAGATGGTCTCAATCTCTTGACCTCATGATCCACCCGCCTCGGCCTCCCAAAGTGCTGGGATTACAGGCGTGAGCCACCGCGCCCGTCTATCGTTATTACGAGTCAGAATCTTGCTCCATTGCCCAGGCTGGAGCACAGTGGTGCGATCTTGGCTCACTGCAACGTCCGCCCCCCAGGTTCAAACAATTCTCCTTCCTCAGACTTCCAAGTAGCTGGGATTACAGGTGCACACCACCATGCCCATCTAATTTTTTTTTTGTATTTTTAGTAGAGACAGGGCTTCGCCGTGTTGGCCAGCCTGGTCTCAAACTCCTGACCGCAGATGATCCACCCACCTGGGCCTCTCAAAGTGCTGGGATTACAGGCATGAACCATCTCGCCACACCTGAAAAGTTATTAATCCCTTCTTCCCTCTTCTTGTCTCCCAATCCTGAGCCTAGATTCCAGAATGTGTCATGTCTTTTTACTAACTTCTAATAGAAATTTCACATTTTCCCCGTTTTAAGTGTGGCAAGAAACCACAGTGGCATAAACAAGGCCTGTGACTTCTGTTAACAAAAGAAATCCCATGTGCTGGGAGCAGGGGCTCAGGTCTGTAATCTCAGCACTTTGGGAGGCCGAGGGGGATGGACGGCTTGAACCCAGGAGTTCAAGATCAACCTGGGCAATGCAGTGAGAGACTCTGTCACTATAAAAACAAAGCAAAATAGGCCGGGCTCGGTGGCTCATGCCTGTAATCTCAGCACTTTGAGAGGTGGGTAATCACTTGAGATCAGGAGTTTGAGACCAATCTGGTCAACATGGTGAAACCCTGTCTCTATCAAAAAATACAAAAAATTGGAGTGTGTGTGTGTGTGTGTGTGTGTATGTGTGTGTTTGTGCGTGCACGTGTGTGTGGAAAAAAAAGAAAAGGGGAAAAAAGGAAAAATAAATAAATACATAAATAATACAAAAAATTAGCCAGGCATCGTGGCACACACCTGTAGTCCCAGCTACTCAGGAGCCTGAGCTGGGAGAATAGCTTAAACATGGAAGGTGGAGGTCACAGTGAGCCGAGATCAAGCCACTGAACTCCAGCCTGAGTGACAAGAGTGAGACCCTGTCTCAAAAAAAAAAAAAAAAAAAAAAAGTTACAATGGGCTGGGCACAGTGGCTCATGCCTGTAACCCCAGCACTTTGGGTGGCTGAGGCAGGTATCACTTGAGGTCAGGAGTTCGAGACCAGACTGGCCAACGTGACCAAACCCCCCTCTACTAAAAATACAAAAAATTAGCTGGGCGTGGTGGTGGGCGCCTGTAATCTCAGCTACTCAGGAGGCTGAGGGAGGAGGAGAATCACTGGAACTGGGGATTCCGAAGTTGTGGTGAACTGAGATCAGGCTACTGCACTCCAGCCTGGGCGACAGAGCAATCCTCCATCTCAAAAAAAAAAAAAAAAAAAAAAAGGTTACAGTGGTAAACTTTATATTATGTATCTTTTACTACCATTTTTTTAAAAAAAGCTTCATTCTGAGAAGGGGTCCCCAAGTGTCATCAAATGCTAATCGCGTCCACGCCCCTGAAAGCTTACATCCCTGGTACTTCCTATTGGCCCAGCCCAGCAGGAAGCTGGCAGCCATAGATTCTGGGGAATGTAGTTTGCAGCCCCCACGGCGGAGTCTTGTCCCACTGTGATGGGTGTGCTCGGAGCTGGCACACAATAGCTCTGGGGCCGGCATCCAGGTCAGCAGGGAAATTGTGGAAGGCACATTCAGTGCGCCCGTCCCCACGCTGCTCACGAGCAGCCTCGCGCACGGCCACACAGACCTGGGCGCACACCTGTCCCCTAGCACCATCCAGCACGTGTGCGCATCAGGTCTGCAGTTTGCACCTGGACATCGTTGCCAATCTAAGTGCGCATCCAAGCCGCCTGAGGATCAGGCTCGCAGATGCCTTCTCGTTCTTCCCTGATGCAACCCCAGCCGGAGCAGGGGCCTTGGCAATGAGGGTGGGAATTGGATGTCCAGGATACAGGTGCCCTGGCGGCAAGTGGGTACCAGGCAGCTAGCGCAGCTTACTGCAAAGGCCCTGAGGTGGGAGCCCACTTGGCCCAGGATGTCGCCATCGGGGTGAGGTGGGGTTGGCCGCGTTGGTTATGAAGAGGCCTTTACCAAGAGACTGTGGCCAGGTCCCCTAGGTGAGCGCTGGGGCGCTGCCTAGTGAATTGAATGACACGTATTGTTCCCAAGGCTGCAGCTGTGGCCTCGGAAGTGACTCAGCAGAATGCCTGGAAGCTGGTGGGGGAGGCCTGCATCAGAGGCGCTGGGGAGGGGGCGTTGCCTGCACTCAAGCCCCTCCTCCCAGCTCCGGCGAACCGCGGAGCTCGCCCACCCTCGAGTCCTCCCCTCCCCCAGACACCAGCGGCGACAAGGCGGGGGTGATGCTTGAGGCCTTAGGGTGGGACGGCCCCATCCTCTCGGACGCCCCGTCCCTGAGACTGATTTAGGGTGGGGGTGGGGTGGGGGCTGATCCTGCCCTCAAAACGGGACTCAAGGCGTTTGGTTTGGAGCCGACAGGGTTGGCCCAATCCGGGCTCCCGGAGTGACTCAGCCCAATCCTGGGCCTCTCTGGGACTGACTCCCTCTAAATAAAAGGAATCTTTCACCCAGCAGGCGGGAGTGGGTCCGCCGAGATAAAATAGACCCTCCAGAGTGATTCCTCCCCTGGTGGCTGATGGGGCATGTGTGTGTTGGGAGAGAGGGAGAGGGCAGCCCCCACCCCAGGCTGGGGCAGGCTGGAGTGAAGGCCAGAGCGCTGGACCCGAGCAGCGGCCTCAGCCCCAATCTAAGCAGAGCCTCAGTTTTCCCGTGCATACAATGGGCATAACGGTTTCAAGAATGACGCTTGGTGGAGTTACTGGCAGGCTGCGCGCTGTCCGCCTAATTCACCTAATTCAGGGCAAGAACCGCGGTCCGGCCCCTGAACCCGGGACAGCTGGGGTGCTTGACCGAAGGCGAAAAAAGCGTCCTGCAGGACCCAACTCCAAATTACCTTCCTTAGGGAAGCCGGAACAAACGATGCGGCGCGGCGGCCCTGGGTCTGTTCCCTCCTAGGAGCTGGAGCAGGGACAGCCGCATCCTAACCCAGCAGCCCGCGCGCCCGCCCTCGCACTCCCTCCCCCACCTGGTTGGTTGGGTTGTGGGGCTCCAGGCGACCGCAAGGTGGCGCCAGAGACGCGCCTGCTCCGCCAAGCTGGGTGGGGCTGGATTCGTCCGGTGACGGGGCCCTTTGGGCAGTCTCCCCCAGACCCATTTAAAAGCCCTTCGAAGTGGGAAAGTACTGGGTTCAAAAATGCAAAATAAGAGTCCAGTCAAGGCCGGGCTCGGTGGCTTATGCCTGTAATCCCAGAGCTTTAGAAGGCTGAGGTGGGAGGATCATTTGAGGTCAGGAGTTCGAGACCAGCCTGGGCAATATAGTGAGACACCCCACCCGCCCATCTCTATTAAAAAATTTAAAAATAAATGCCTGTAATCCCAGCACTTTGGGAGGCCAAGGCGGGCGGATCACGAGGTCAAGAGATCCAGACCATCCTGGCCAACATGGTGAAACCCAGTCTCTACTAAAAAATACAAAAAATAGCTGGGCGTGCGCCTGTAATCCCAGCTACTTGGGAGGCTGAGGCAAGAGAATCACTTGAACCCGGGAGGCAGAGGTTGCAATGAGCTGAGATTGTGCCACTGCACTCCAGCCTGGAGACAGAGCAAGACTCCGTTAAAAAAAAAAAAAAAAAATTAAAAATCAGCTGAGCCAGACCAGGCGAGGTGGCTCACATCTGTAATCCCAGACCTTTGGAAGGCCAAGCAGGGAGGATCACTTGAGGCCAGGAGTTCGATACTAGCCTGTGCAATAGCGAGACACCCCCCCC